ATGTTGTCAATGCCCAGGATCAGTAAGCTATTTGGAACAACGGAAGAAATGAAATTAAGAATTTTTTTATTCAGTGCATCACTTAAACTAAGCTCCTGCCCTTGCGGGCAACTATGATCAACAATATTTGTGAAGATGCCGAGTTTGCCACTGGGCTAAAGCAAATCTCTGTTCTTCTACGGGGAATATGGAAAGCCAAATTGCCTTGAATTGATTTCTATATTACATTCATCTCATCATTCTCAGTAACCCACGCCAGAGCTCTCAGTCATGTGAAAATCAAATTTTATCTATCACACTCAGCCTCGGTGCATGCAAGGCCGGGTAAGACATGGATATCTGGGGAGTAGGCTGGACGTTCTTACTGATAGGCAGGTTTAGACTGACGGATATGGATTGATCGGACTAGAGCTCATAAGACAGTTGTCTAGACTATCTGGTCAAACTTTGTAGTCTCTCTCTCTCTCTCTCTCTCTCTCTCTCTCTCTCTCTGTTTTGGTCATTTTGCCAAAATTTTCATTCAACAAAACTGTTTATCTGGAAGAATTTCAACAATTTTTGTTTGGAGGAGGGGGGGGTGGGATTGACATATTGACCCTTTGGGAACCCAACACAGACAGACAGAAAAAAACACATCATTTCGGGTCATTGAATAACTTGTGTATCTTAAATGTGAAACAGATTTATACAGGATGCATCCCATTACAAACCTAAACTTATAACTCCCAAGATACCTGCAGAATCTTGTTGAACTAGACTAAGACTAATTGAGATAGGCTCAAACGAAGTGCAAAAAGGGAAAGGATTGGTTGGTGGGCAACTGGCTTTTTACTTTGCTGAGTGGCTAGACTAAACAGTTGTGTAGGTTTTGTGTCATTTTATCATCAAGAGAATGTGAATTAGGCTGTAAACAAATCTGTGAGCCAGATTTGAAAGCACTTTCCTTTAACTACAGGGGTATGTTGTTTGGTGAAGATGCTTAACCTGTTGTTCGATGAAGTTAGTGCATTTGTGAATGTGCCTTGAAATGTATATATTTACTGTATGTTTGCTCAATTTTAGTATAAGCATACCCCAACAAAATCAGCATTGGTCATGATTTTGTTTGGACACCAACAATTCAATCTTTGCTCTACCCGAAACACCTTGAGATAAGCCTGCTGAAGAATTATGGTTAGAACTCATTAAATTGGAACATTATAAATAATACACATCCATTATACAATGTTTTATTACCCTAGTTAAACTTCAAAATGTTGATTCAGATGTCTTACAAAGTAGTTGGCCTTGTGTCAGAAATTGCTTTTATGAATAACTGAAAATAATCAGTGAAATGATATTAGTATTAACTACGATAATTGTAAGTGATGACTGTACTTCATCGAAACCCATAGTTTACAGTTTACTGCAGCACACCTTAGAGCGTATATTCCACTTCCTCCGTAAAGTGCATCATTATATTGCCATTGACATTTGAACAAACAGTGATTGGACCCCAAAGCAATGTGTGAACTTAAGCAGCTAGGGTTTTATATGGAGTTACATGGAGGTTATATGGCTTTGCACAGTTCTCACCCTGAATGGACTAAATGGAATAAAGATCTATGTTTTGATCATGTAGATTCTGGACAGAGTAGGACCAAAATTAATAAATTACAGCAATTTTGAACTTGAGAATTTTTCAACTGTGGTCCAGTCCAACATAGAATTACATACTTCGTTTCTTGTTGCTATAAATATATATATTTTTTCCAAATGATCTTGTGATGGTTTTGTTATGAAGCAGTGTTGGAAATGTGAATTAAATAGAATGATGGAGACTTTCTGTTCAGCTCTAGACGGTATTTTGAGCCATGGATAAATCATGTTTTGCAACTTTATCAGTCCATAGCCTGTCGTTCTTTACCTTGACAGAAATATCAGTTTCTGCTGGCATCCTGCTATTAGAACACGGTATTTGCACCAGAGATTTATTCATGAGAGCATCTAATAAAATTTTAGAACTTGGATTTTGATTTTCATAGATTGTACCCCTGTGCATCGACCTTTATGGAGCTTTATTGTTAGGTTTAGGTTGTTCATAAAATTTACAGGAAAATGAATTAGCTCTCAGCTGGTTTACATCATATACTTTATCTTTCTCTGCAAGACATATGGTATGAACTGGGTTTTTTAAGTTTTAGCAGAAAAAAATAATCAATAACATGGGTGTGAAGAAAAAAAAGAAGAATGATGGAATGGAATGACATATGTTGCCATCTCCTTGCCATATAAGACAATTATCCATGGAACTGTGCACCTCAATGTCTCTGACACCTAATCAGGCAAGAAATGGCCCTTTAAAATTGCGTCATTAAGAGAGAATGATGGTGAAGTGAAGGTGTTTCATCTCCTGTTGCAAAACACATGAACATAAAGGAGTAATTCCTGCCAGCTTGTTAAGTACCCAAAAATGACCTAATTAATTTTGTTGGGTGAGGCTGAAGAAAATGGGAATTATTGGCTTGATTGATAGTAATTATTATATACAGGCCCTGTAAGTCAATACTTAGTTCTGAACGATTGAATGTTGTGGACTTTGTCTGTTTTAAGAATGTTCTGCATATTTTAAGTTTCCTGTGACTTCCAATATACATCTGCATATTTATGTTAAGTGTAGATGTGAGATGGGCTACAATTTCAAACACTGCACCAGGTATTGGCCAATAAGGGATAGTCTATGCATTGTCCATTTGATGTTTCCAAATAATTTTGAAAAAAAACATATCTCCATCTCGCATTTATGTCAAATTTCTTCACTTCACTACAAAAAAGTGGACATGCAGTGGGTGACCCGACAGAACACATAAATATGTTTATTGTTGGTTTCCGTGATTGTCGCAGCTGTATTTGTCTGTTTCACTGTGTGAGCTATAGACACACTTGGGACTTTTATCTGCAGTTTCTATATAACCTCACAGTAAGGTAACCACCAGCCATTAGCCTGTCCCAAGAGATGAGACCAGCACTCAGGGCTGCAGCAAATATTGTCTTGATGGATTGAGGTCAACCCAGTACAAAGCCTCTCACAAGGAATTGACCAATCATAACACTGCAGAATAGAGACGAGCTAATCTCTCCTTTTTTTATCTGTAAGCAAACTTGACAATGTGTAGGTAATATGTTCTTGCCAAACAGTGGTGCTGACTGTTCAAAAGCAGCTATATTATTGTCATGTGTATTGGGCATAGTTTTTGATAAGGATGTCATTAATTTAAACAAAATTTGTACACCAAAACTTGGACTTTGGTAGCAGACTCAAAGAATGTTTCAAACCACAAAATCAGGTTATGTAGAAAAATATAAATAGTGGGACATTATTTGATCATTCAACTGCATGTTGATTATCACCAGTATAGGTGTTAAAATATTCCATTTGAATTGTTACTTAACGCTTTTATAAAAAATTTAATTAAGTGTTTGTGATTGTTAGGAATTTAATGTTTTTATTTATTCTGATGCTGATTTATAGATAAATATTTTTCCTCTCCAAAGACTCTAGTTTACTTTGACAGTGTGTGCTGCTTATTTCTAAAAAAAATGGTAGAAAGAGGAGCATCATTTTCACAAGTTTTAATTTAAAAAAACAAATGACAACTGCTTCACTATGAGCAAAACATGTTTGTTTTCATTGACTCAAACAGCAGTTTGCAGGGGATTAAGCGATATGTCAATACTCTTCATCTGTCTACAGCCAAGGTGGTTGTTTTTGTTGTTTGTTTTTTTTAGCCTATTCATTAATAACCAGGCAGACTTGTTTTTGCATCAGATGTATCAAGATATATCACATGGAAAGTGTGTATCAAGTTATGTTCTTGTCATGCTGTTTTTACATGAACTGGATCGCATTGCATAATGGCGCGATTTCTGGGTAGTTTCAGCAAGAGCATTCAACTGATGTTTGTCCTACAAAAAAATCGAATTAAGCATTGTCCTTTATGCAATTTTATATTCTAAATTTATTTTTCTTTGCATGTTGTTTTATCTTTGCTCGTGTGAGCCATACAATTTGTCTGCTTGCATGAATGTAATTGGCAGCAGTGCTTCGCAAACAAATTGCATCACTGTATATCCAACAAAGTACAGCAGGTCCATGGAAGCACATGCCACAACCGATATGTACCTGTGCACATGTTTTGGGTAATAAGTAATACACCTACTCACTTACAATTCCAGTTCGTGCACAAGGATGATAAAGTGTGCGTGAACATGTGCAGATGTGATGTGCATGCTGAATTTGATTGCATGACTACCTGATATTTATTCCATGTAATGCTATCATTGGCACTTACACTTAGCCATTACAGAATTCTTCATATTTCTGAAATGTCATGATGACCTAGGCAAATGAGAAACAATATAATCACCCCTTTTAAAGCATTGGTGATTATTTGGTAAATAAGCATTGCTCTTAATGTTTGTTGTGAAACAAAGAAAAAAATGTTAATAATTTTGAGAGCAAATGGTGATGATTTTCACTAGTTCCCAGTGGCTTGTTCATTATACCTACAAATTTTGTTCTTGTCTTTGTCATGAAACTCTTAATCACAGTTTGGTTTTTCATTTCTGATTTTTTTTTTTTTTTTTTTTTTTTTTTTTTTTTTTTTTTTTTTTTTTTTTTTTTTTTTTTTTTTTACCTCCTATGCACATGGCTCCTTATGCCAGGTGGTAACATTTGGTTTAATAGTACTACAATTGCCAGTTTTGTACATTTCTGAGTGGTCAAAATATGGTACCCACCAATTAGTAGTCTTGATATGAGTATACATGCCTTTTTTTACCAGTTCCAACTGCATTATAATTTGAAGGAAAAAATTTTAATTTCTTTATATTATTAAGTAAGTTCCTTTTTGTGATAGTCAAGCAATTGAATTTTTAGTTGTCTATACTAAAAAGTAACCCCTTTTGCATAGTCATTAATGTAGACTTCTTTGATATTCAGCTTTTTTGTATATTTACAGGGAACAAGATTAGAGGACCAGAGAAGTCATCTACAACCAGTTGATGTACGTTCGGCACCAACAGTTCCAGATGAAGATTTCTTCACACTTATTCAGCGTATACAGTCAAATCGCCTTGACGAACAAAGGTCGGTTTTACCACCAAAGAAACAGTCTGAAACTGACCAAGACACAAAAAATGTGACTGAGCCAAGCACAGTGAATGGAAAAAAGAAAAAGAAATGACATTTGCATGAGTTGCAGACTTTAAGAAAAATGATACTGATGAATCCAGGATAGTATGTCATGCTGCTCGAAACAATTCCAGCTTCTTAACAATGTGAGAAAATCCATAAAAAGATACTCACAATATGGAAAATTTATCTTTTATTACCTAGTATGTTACATTTCAGTGGCATGAAGTGGCAAAGGTAGTGTTCAAATGGCATATGGTTTTAATGAAAGATCAGTTGCTTTTATATACGGATGAACCAAACCATACTTTTTTTGGATCATGCACAGTTCTTAAAACCAGAGAAGAGAGGGGAAAGCATCAGTTACTTATTCTTTGAAAAGGAATTTAAACACCCATTTATGTATATCACGTTTTTTGCTTTCTGCACCTGGGTTGAAAACCCACAAGACTGAACCAAAAACTCCAAGCGGATGTATTAGAGTAAATGTATTTGTGGGAGCACTTTACTGCCTCTAGAGAGGTATTGCTTGCAATCCGGTTCAGAACCGCACCAAGTAATCACCATTACAGAGACATAGGAGAATGAAGTATTCATAATTATCATCATTTTCTAAGTCAAATTATTCATGAGCTACACCAATTTGGTTTGAGATGCTGATGGTGTCGCATTAAAATGAAAAGGAAAAAAAACAGCAATAGCTCAAGCCACTTAAAAATTATGCCACAAGATCTTCAAAATTTAACTTTTAAAAAGACAATTTTGCTGGTCATTTAACTGCACAAAGAGCACTCTAAATTTTCATCTGATCAGTAAGAGACTAGTTCTGTCCAATTTATGCCATTCGTGTCAGACAAGAATTCTAAAGTATTAAGGATTTAACACCAGAAAGCAAGGCCATTCTTGTAAGCAGTTTCAGAACCACACCAAAGGTTAAGCGATTCCAATACAACAAGGTGACAAGGATTTTAGAAATGGGATTACTTCACCAAAACATTAAATAATTGGAAATGGAAAAATTTGAAGAAGTATTCAGTCATTTCATCACAAGGAGAAGCAGTTCAGTCATATCTTATTTTAAGAGCACTCAGCAATGATCAGATTTGCCATCATATGTCCAGAGGATGCTCGCTAATTCAACAATGTATTCGCCTGGCTAAAAGTTCAAAATGGAAAGCATATTAAGTCACTGTGTCTGGATTTAGATGACACAGTCTGCTTAACCACCATAGTTAATCTTGTCTGCATTGGAAAGTTGTTCATTTGGAGCAGATAATTCTGTTTGACATATTTATGGAGTGGAGCTCACTTTTCAGTTCCTGCATGGTAATATGACATTACATTACATTTATATGTAAAAATAATTATTCACTTAACCAATTATATGGTAGGTTCTGAATGAGTGCATTCATTTGGATCTTAAGCAGCGCCAGCAGTGACTACTTTGCAAAAGATTTCACATTTTCTTTTTGGAATATGAAGCTGAGAGTTGGCCTTTTCAGGGCCATTTTGCAATGTAGATTTGGATTGATGAGCACCAGTGAGTCAAAACTTCAATCTGGCGTGCATGTAGAATGATTCTCATTGAATTATTGCATGATGGGTTTCATTTTTGTTCTTTTTTCTCCATTTTTTTCTCAAACTTCTCAGCTGTGATTGAACTGGGATGAAATGTTTCCATGACACGATAAGGTCAACCCTTGGAGCCCACATCCTAATGCAATCTAGTCAGCCAGCTCTGGGTGGATCAATAGCAAAACTGCCACAGCCCATGTCTGGGTTGGGTTAGATGTGATGTGCTGTGTATTGGCCACTTAAGTTCAGTTCACAGTGCATGCTTCTTTAAGAAGAAGCCCAGAAACTAGTTCCTGGATCCATGCTGCAAAAGTTTCATGTCACCTGGGTTGGTAAGGTAACCCGATGGGCCAAGCCATCAGTTCAAGTTGAGTTCCATCAGTCTATCAACTGATTGGGCAGCTTTATTTGGACCAAGAAGGTTAATTGGAATCAACCCAATTGATCTGAAATATTGTTAGTTGTCACATAGTAAACTCCTCATAATTCACCACCTTATACTTACCATTATTGTTTGTGTCAAACAAATTTTGTGGCATGGATTTTTTTTCTTTGGTGTGAGCTAAAACTGATGAATTATTGTATGCCCATCTTGAACCCTTCTTTAATTCAAAACATTTTCTGTTTCTCAAGTGTTCAGGGTAAAGTCTGCTCTAATTCTGAACTGTTTTAGAAGCAGCATGAGCATTTTGGTATATGTGAACCAAGTTGATTAACCCTGTGGTTTATGTAGGATTAGCATTTTGAGTTTTTATCTTTTACCTTTTAAGGTGATAATGATGTACACATTGTAATTATTATCCTACAGTGAAAAGTACTTTTTGCGCAAGCAGTAAAATCTTTACTGAAGATGGACACAACAAGCTGACAAACCTTGTCATTTATAATTATTTTTCACTTTTGTTTGGTATATTCTGGCGCACACTTTACGTTATATATCAGTAATATATTTGCTGAAAATTTGTTCACAGATGTGTACAGTGTTATATTTGTATAGATTTAAAGCAGTTACTGCATAATTATCATAATTACCACATACACAAGCACACACATACTTTTAATTATTGCCTACTGCACATTACCTACAATGTGAAGATCTGCTTTATCTGTATTAAAAGTAACATAAACACATTGGCACCAGTTTTAACGTAAGCACAATGGACTGCATTCTAAAATCTTTAGGGGGAAATTGAAGGAATGTTTTGGAATTGTTGGCCCAAGAAGTTTGCATTTAAACTCATAAACAAGCTAGCTTGAATTGACTGGAGAACTGTTTTGGATGTGGCTTACTTTGATGACTAAGGAAAAAAGTTGAAATTACCAGAAATTTTGAATTTCTAAATAAAGGTCTATTGTTCTGTGTGTGCCTTTAAAGGGGGTATTACATAGTGAAAGGATTGCATTTCTGAGGTTTATTTATTTTAATTGCTAAAAATATTTTAAATTGTTTTGTTTTATAGCATCTGGTATTGTATGATATTAATGCTGAAGTCATGTTTATTTTAAATCCAATGTTTTCAGCAGTCCCTATTTCAATAATTTCACATGGGGTATGAAGTGATGGCTTGTCCCCTTCCCCCCTCCCGCCCCTTTTTTTCATTAAATATATGATTGGAATTTTCAAACTTTTGGAGGTTTTCCACCTTTGGGTGTTCAAAAAAAAATGCAAAAAATTGTGGATTTCACATGCAATGATGAACACAAAAAGTTATTTTGGTTTTGCCAGTTTGTCCCTCTGTTCCCTAACTCAAAGCACTGTTGCCTTTATGCGCACAGAGCTGTTCTTAACTGTACAATACATTATTTAATTTTGTTTAATGACAACATTTGCCACAAAATTTGCTCACACCTAAATTAAGATGTATTAGATAATTTTATATGTTAGCACACTGCAGCTCTATATATAGAGGTTAAAATTAATGAAGCAAACCAGACTCTTTTATGGGGGGGGGGGGGGTTGAGCCTCTCCATTGTGATTCGCTTAATCAGTATAATAAATCTGTAAATTTGAAATAAACCCAGTGAATAGTCTCCATTCTAATTAAGACAAAAATGACCGTGTTTGTTTCTTTGTGATCATTGTTAAATTATTTTGCCCCTCACTTCAGGGCGAGGCCAGATTTTTCCATTCCTTAATTGGTTTATATTTCAACAAGGATGACGTATGGATCCTAGCTGGAAAAAAAAACGCCATGAAATAAACCGAATAATTTATTATAATCAGTGATCTAAAGGATCAAAACGCTTTGATTAGATTTAGGTGAAGAGGCCGTTTTTAATCGTTGATATTTTATCTTCGCCATGTCTTTGTACGGTCATGCAGTTTTAAGCATTTATATAATTATCATTTCTGAGTATTTTATTTATTTATTTATTTTTAGTTTTCATGTTATTCATTTAATTATTACGCTGTTTTAAGTGGTTCGGCTGAGTTATGATGCTCGGCCAAAGAAACAGTTATTTTGTAAGTGTGAAGACGAGTTTCTCCTGGGAAATGGTGAAGACAGACTAAAGATTTCCATGCCACGTGTTAAGGTGATTTCGTGTGTACATTGCGCAGTTCTGTCACCTATGGCATTGAGTATATAATGACATACATATATTTTCCTTGATTGTTAACATATCTGAGTCTTGAAAGAGCATTGCGAATTTTCATCAGCTTACAGAGTTTTATGAACTTGCTCCATGAGCTGTCTGGAACAATCATTTTGCTTTTATTTCATATATATTTTAACTTTTCTGAAAGAATGTGACGGAGTATTTGCTAATGTTTTTGCTTGGACATATCCTATGGTCTTGTAAGTGAAATATGTTTATTAGAAATTGTACAGATGAAATTTCTGGAAAAATGTATACATAGGATCTTAACTAATATAAGAATAAAGAACAAAACTGTCGTACGTGTTTGAATCTCTCACACTCTCTCTCTCTCTTTCTCTCTCTCTCTCTCTCTCTCTCTCAATTGGCGGCATTGGAACGTTTAGTCCACATTAATTTCCAAAACACAGATACACCATTCATTATGTAGCATTTCTCTTCTACACCTTATTGTGCTATTGGCAATCTCTTTTCGTTTGAGGCGACTTTTCCAAGATAGCTACATGGTTCGTAACATCCTGCACCATCGTCAGAGCTCTCTCGCGGGAAACGTTTGTGTTTCGGTGATAGCGAGCCTTTCATGACACCATGGGGCTAGATCCAAGAACAAATCGATGAAAATACGATTACATGTACTTGAAAAGTGGCAGTCGCTGCACTAAAACGAACAAACAAAAAAATCAAAGTGTATATAGAATCACTTGCAGAAATACATTGCCTTCGGTACCAAGCTGTGTTTCAGCAAATAAGCCCCGTTCAAACAGCTGGTAGCTATAGGGGTCGGCATTTGTATTTGAAATATACTATTAAAGCGCCAATATTTTATCGTGCAAAAGTGTCGATAAAAGCTATATAGTTCAATTTTTAACCAAAGGCAATACTGTCATGTGCTAGAAAGTGAAACTGCTTTCAATTAGCATGAATGGTTGCTTAAAATTTTATTTTATTCACTCAATATTATTTCCATCAACAGAGGATCTTTTCGTGTTACAAATTCTACCCAACAGCATCTTATGAAGAGTGCAATAGCCTTTATAATTTATTGATCGGTGTTCACCACTTATATGACAATATGATGGCTCGTTTGTTTTGAAATGAAGATAATGATAGTCAACAAAAAAATGAAAATCATAATAATCCAAGACTAGAGCCATCCGTACAAAAGAACTTCTATACCAAAAATTGGTCCTCTCTTACCCCATTTAGAATTGGGACTTGAACGCTTGGTAGTCAACATCAAATTTAGTGTTGCTGAATCTTAATATTGCAGCCTTTTCTTTTGTTCCATAATTGTGAGAGTGGGCCAAAATTTGCTCTCCAAAACCCGTGTTACAGTTGTATCGCATTTATTTCTGTGTCGTGAGAAAAGTGTCTCTCACTAATTACATCATCACCGTCAAGTTATGCACAACGGTTTTGTAATGTCACCAATGATGATGCTATTTAGCTTGTTTCATTTCCGAGTGCAAGAATAGCTTAGGGAACGACATATATTGATCTTGTATGATGAACTGGTGTATGATGAATTATCTTTGCTGCGAATAATAACTCTTATGTAAACCGAGGTACACTACTCCCAGGAGTTCAACTCATTTATTGGACATGGTCACGTCACGATGATCTGGTTTTGGTTAATTCTAACAGGGACAAATTCCTGTTGTCTTCAAATATTATATTATTATTTGTCCTATGATTATTATTATATTTCTCACCAGAGATCTTGCTACACCAGTATACTAGTACCTTGTAATTATTACAGTGATCTCTTACGTAGTTTCTATAAAAGATATCATCCTTTCTGTCTCTCTTCAAACTTTCCATCCCCAAGAACTATAAGTAGGCTAACCTTCACTTTACTGTTTTATAGCATAGGAATGGTTTCACAAACAAATATGAGACCGAAAATTGGTCGGAACTGCAAAAACTGAAATTCTAGTCTACTTTGTCCCAAAGCAGGTTAGTAGTAGTCCAAACAACTGAAAAATTATACCTGTTTTGAAGCAAGAAAGTTGCAGCTAATTATAAATTCCATAAGTTAAGCCTTGACTACATTTGCCACGTGATGTCCGTATGGTGCTTGTATACTGCCCGTGAAACCCTTTTTGTGTGGTGTCTCTGCGGAGGCAGGCGGTGGCCGCCCGAAATTTGTTTAAAACGAATGTAAAGGTAGACGTACAACAAATCTGATTTTGTATATAAGCACATCTTTCATGGGTTTCCAAAGGGGAAGAGGAACCAAATTTGCCACTCAGTAAAATTTGAAGGAGTGGCATTTTCTCAAGCTCTTGTCACATTATAACTTAAAACAGAAACAGATTTTTACAAATTGGGTAGTTTAAGGCGAATCTTGTAAAATTAACAAGAATGTTTTTGACATGCAAATGAATTGTACATTGAGTTACCATAGTTTTCACTTTAGACATAAATGTGCATCCATAAAAAGTTAAATGCATTTTGCTCAACTTCTACGTATGTTTATAGGGCAGCTTGGAACAATAAGACAGAAAAAATTGCCAAAAGATTTCATATTTAACTTGGAGACTGAGGGTCAAGGGAAACGAGGTCAAGGTCATCACAATAAGAGACGACAGGGACTTCAGAGAGATTGTATGAATATCGAACATGGAACTAAAAGGATTTTGTCAAAAACATAACGAACGGCGTCTCATATTGGCGAATCATGGAATACGTGTCAAACAGTTCGTCTACATCGACTGTGCTCACATCGTATCGCAACTTGTATCGATTCCAAGTTAATTTAAATGCATCTTTGAGTAATGTCACACACTAAATTTTCTTTTCTCCTCAAAGTCGTCCAGATTTGAGGTAATGACGATGTCCATCTTCATCAAGCATACGAATGATCAGAGGCGACGGAGGATTTAATGAAGACGTATGCAAGCAATAGCAAGAAACCTTTCTAGTATTGAGTGTAAACTCGGTGCTTCAAAATCTCTTGTGGTCGGCCTATAAAATGTAAGTTGCATGATGTATATTCGTACCCTGAATTTACAAGCAGCTTGCTCGAAAACAAGTCATTTCCATCTATTCTATCGTTATTATAGGTTTCAAAAATTTCAAAGTTCTTCATCGCATGGACAAACAACGGAATAAAATATAACACAGCAAAAGTAAACATTCCGGCAATTTTGGACTTCAGTTTTTCTCATTAGCACCACGTTGATATTACAATGGTAAATGAGTCAAACGTTTGAATCGCTAAGTGCCAAGTTTCATCGAATTGAAATAAATGGCATTTATCACATCATGACTGCGGTACGTTTATATATAAATACATAAATGCATGTATGTCCAAATACTTTGAATTGACGTCAGATGGACGTCATGTATAAAACAATTTCCTAGCACGTATGTGATTTAATTGATCATTAACACGCATCTTCTATATCCGGTGAGGATACATGATGATAATAGTTATACCTATATTTATACTAATGTCACGATGACATATAACATGATATGTCTATGTTGGAATCTAGACGGCGGGATGCATGGAAGGATTAGGCGTTGGCATTTTAACACATTTGCCCATGCTCAAGTAAGATTTGGTGCAAAAAAGGGTCTTCTCTTTCGTTTTGGTGTATCACCAACTGAAATAAGTTTCAGCATTGCTTTTGACATAGGGATCACACGTCATATTACGTTTGAGCCTTAACTTTCTTTTTTCCCTCTTTCAAAGAAAAGGCCACAGAGGGAATACATCACACGTATCTTTGCCATAAGGTCCTGCTATTTTATTGAATTTTTATGGAAGTTTGAAAAAACAGCTGCGTTTTGATTTTTTTTTTTTTTTTTTTTTTTTTGACACAGTGAAATTATTATTATTTTTTCTTTTTTTACTTAAAAGGGAAACACGATTTCAATGAAAAAGTTAAAATATTTGTTTGCAAATGAGGACGTCGCTTTCGTAATTTAATAAGGGTAATATTTCGTAAAACAAACAAGAAATTAAAACTATGAAAACTGTGCGCTTTTCTTAGACAACCGTGATGATGTTTATTATGATTGGCCAGGGCCCCGTAACTCGAAAGCATCGCGCATTGCGACCGAGCGCAAGCGTCTCGACGCCATAACTCGCCCATACTTGCCCCATATAATAGCCTCGAAATAAAAGGTGATATCGCTATTCGCAATTAGCGATGCTTTCGAGTTACGGAGCCCATGCGTGTTTCTTCGTTTTGTCGCCATACATCTCTCACATCTGTTTCGTTTCTCAATCGTTAATTCCACTCGTTAATTAGCTATAATCACCTCATTCATCTTAACAACCTCTAAAAACAGTCAGCCTTATATCAACTACCTCAGGTCTTTTATCATTTGTCCAACTTTTCTTTTCCGGTGACTACACGATGGAGCTACTTGAGCAATTTTCTTTTGGGAACTTATAGATCAATTATGTTACGTGATTATATTTCATTTCTGCGTACAGTCTGCATCTAAGATCTCAGAGGGAGCTGGTGAATATACATTGGTTAAGGGTTTAATAAATGGAAATATGAATAAGGAAATAAACCTTTACAGGTATACAGGTCAGTTTTTTTCTCCAAAAGGGACCATACAGCCACCTTAGCAAAGAAAACATTTCATAAAGAACCAACCAAAGAAACCACTCTGAAAAAAATAGAAATTTAAAACATAAGTGAACTTGTTCTTGAACTTGTATTTTTATCCCTTTTCTCGAAACATAGATGTTTAATGATCGTGTGTGACAAAATTCTTACCGACCGGTACGCAATGGCATTTGAAAATGAGCACCAAGATATAGAGATGTGACGTGTTAAGAGCATTTAAGTGCAGTGCGTAACTCATTTTCATGTTTTTTTTGTTTTGTTTTGTTTTATATAACATATTTTNCTAGGTAGTCAACATCAAATTTAGTGTTGCTGAATCTTAATATTGAAGCCTTTTCTTTTGTTCCATAATTGTGAGAGTGGGCCAAAATTTGCTCTCCAAAACCCGTGTTACAGTTGTATCGCATTTATTTCTGTGTCGTGAGAAAAGTGTCTCTCACTAATTACATCATCACCGTCAAGTTATGCACAACGGTTTTGTAATGTCACCGATGATGATGCTATTTAGCTTGTTTCATTTCCGAGTGCAAGAATAGCTTAGGGAACGACATGTATTGATCTTGTATGATGAACTGGTGTATGATGAATTATCTTTGCTGCGAATAATAACTCTTATGTAAACCGAGGTACACTACTCCCAGGAGTTCAACTCATTTATTGGACATGGTCACGTCACGATGATCTGGTTTTGGTTAATTCTAACAGG